TATAGACCAGGGGTTGACAACCTTTCAGAAGCGGTGTGCCGAGTCTTCATTTATTCACTCTAATTTAAGGTTTCGCGTGCCAGTAATACATTTTAACGTTTTTAGACGGTCTCTTTCTATAAGTCTATAATATATAACTAAACTATTGTTGTATTTAAAGTAAATAAAGTTTTTAAAATGTTTAAGAAACTTCATTTAAAATTAAATTAAAATGCAGAGCCCCCCGGACCAGTGGCCAGGACCAAGGCAGTGTGAGTGCCACTGAAAGTCAGCTCGCGTGCTGCCTTCGGCACACGTGCCATAGGTTGCCTACCCCTGCAATAGACAATAGTATGCAGATCGAGATAAATAGAGAACACGTTATAGATCTTTAGTATCAGAGGGGTAGCTGTGTTAGTCTGGATCTGTAAAAAGCAACAGAGAGTCCTGTGGCACTTTTAAGACTAACAGATGTATTGGAGCATAAGCTTTTGTGGGTGAATATTCACTGCGTCTGATGAAGTGGGTATTCACCCACAAAAGCTTATGCTCCAATACATCTGTTAGTCTTAAAGGTGCCACAGGACTCTCTGTTGCTTGTTATAGATCTTGTGACTAATCTGAATCAATTCAAGTCAGTGGGGCCTGATGTTATTCACCGCAGGGTGCTGAAGGAATTAGTTGCAGAAATTTCAGTTGCTGGCAATAATATTTGCAAACTCATGGATAACAGGAGAGGTCCCGGAAGACTGGAGAAGGGCTAATGTAGTGGCCATCATTAAAAAGGAGGAGCTGGGGAACCTGACTTCAGTACCTGGGAAGCTACTAGAGCAATGTATAAAACATTCAATTTGCAAATACCTGGAGGATGAAGGGGTGATCACTAGCAGCCAGCATGGATTTACCAAGAACAAATCCTGCCAAACCAGCTTTCTTTCTTTCTTTGACAAGGTAACTAGTTGGGTTGATGGGGGAATGTGGTGGACATAATATACCTGGATTTAGCAAGGCTTTTGACCCAGTCCCACATGACATTCTGACAGGTAAGCTGGAGAAATGTGGGCTCAGCAGAACTACCATCAAGTGGATACATAATTGGTTAAATACCCGCAAACAAAGAGTAACTATTAATAGAATGATGTCCGATTGGGGGGAGGTCTCAAGTGGGGTTCCACAGGGATCTGTTCTGGTTCCGGTGTTATTTAACATCTTTTATTAATGACCTGGATGTAGAAATAGAGAGCGTACGGATCTAATTTGTGGACGATGCAAAGCTAGGGAGGGTTGCAAATACTTTGGAGGACAGAGCTAAAATTCAGAGGGATCTTGATAAATTGGAGAACGGGGCTACAGACAAAATGAAATTCAACAAAGACAAATGTAAGGTGCTACGCAACTGTGAAGCCTTGATCTTGCCTGTTTTCTTCCCTGGGAGCAGATTTTCCAATTCCCAAGCCCAACATGATCTCCTGGAGGAAACGGAGAAAAGAGCTGTGGGTTCCAGACTCTCAGAACTCTGAGGAAAGTGTGACCCTGAGGAACACCCTCACAGGTGAGGAATTGGTTAAAGTGATACAGAAACCATCCATCGTTGATGTAAACAGCTAGAATTCCCACAAAGGCCCCATTCGCTCCTCTGCCTCATCTCACCCAGGTCAGAATGTTGTATCCTCTTGGCAGACCTCATGCATGGCTTCCCACCCATCCTGAGTGGCACCTGGCAGTAGCTCTCTTCCCTCTGAGTGTTCGGATGATATGTGGAGGCAAAATTGGTTCCCTCCTCTCTGTCTTCTGAAGAACGATTTGGGGGGCAGGATTCAGCTCCTGATTCTTAATCTCCCCAGCATTTAATTCAGTTTATTTCCCCCTCCCCACCCCCATTCTCCTTTCTGAGGTTCCCTTTCCCCCAGCACAGGGAATGTCTGGATCCCCTGTCTGTCCCAGAAGCTGTCGGGACAGTGATTGAGGACAAGGACGAGAATCTTTAGCAGGGAGGTCCTGAGCAAGTGGAACCACACGGGAGGGTATCGGGAAGAGCTAGGAGCAAAGTGTAGACACGCTCAAGCAATCTCATTACTGAACACCTGTATGCCGACATAAGTTAGGTCGATTAATTTTGTAGTGTAAACATGCCCTGTGATTATTCCTGTAATATCTGCAGTTGGAGGGATTTTCTCCTTGTTTCTTGATGACTGGGGCATGACGCGGTCTCATGTTTCTGGAATTTCAGGTGTCAAGGGAGTCTTTATCTCTCACTGAAGTTTTTACCTCAATAGGTTTCTTCTTTCCAAACAAACTCCTAATAAAACTTTTGTTTTATATCTTTTGTCTTCTCTGATATCCCAGGAATTTCCTCAGTTCTTAAGCTCTCGGGTTGGATGTAAAGTGCCCCTAACCAGATAAGTTACCTCCCTTATTCACCACCCCCCTTTAGGAAGAATAGCTCACTTCTCAACCCTTTTTGTGTGTGGGGGTCTCGGGTAGCTTAGCTAATTTATTCATTGTGATTCTGTACCCATGTTGCAACTGGAAAGAATAAACCCGTGCTGCGTACTTTTTGTGGGTTTCATTAGAAAAGATAAGCAAGGAAATAATAAATTAAACACTGAGGCTAAAACTAGCGTAACTTCACTAAACTAATTTAAAACTAAACAATGCAATGATCAAATTAAGGTCATTATTGAGACTTAAGGCCGGTCTATGGTTAAACCACTTCACCAGTGCAGCTGCGCCACTGTATCGCTTTATAGCTACCCCAAGAGGTGGTAGCTATGTCAACGGGAGAATTCTCCTGTCTTGTCTACACCGGGGGTGAGGTCACAAAGGGGTGTGAATTTTTCACACCCCTGAGCGCCATAGTTAAACCAATGTAAGAATCATAGAATCATAGAAGATTAGGGTTAGAAGAGACCTCAGGAGGTCATCTAGTCCAACCCCCTGCTCAAAGCAGGACCAACCCCAACTAAATCATCCCAGCCAGGGCTTTGTCAAGCTGGGCCTTAAAGATCTCTAAGGATGGAGATTCCACCACTTCCCTAGGTTTCTAGTGTAGACCTGGCCTTACTCAGTACATCGATGCGTTAACAAAGGCGTTAGCTGGGATTATCAATTTATAATGTCAAGTTAATGCAGCAGCTAATCGAATCCTGAGGCTGACAAAAGGAAAACCTAAATCCTAGTGTAAATAGAGCTAGGTTGATGAAATAATTCTTCTGTCAACCTCGCTACCACCTCTTGGGAAGGTGGATTACCTATGCTGATTGGAGAACCCCTCCCATCGGCGTAGGTTGCATCTACACTGAAGTGCCATAGTGGCACCATTTTAAGTGTAGACACACCCTCAGTTTAGTGAGTGTAGGCCTGGAGTTTCTTTTTTTACTTTAGACCTTGACCGAGAGAGAGTCCACCAAGGAGTGGTAAATTGAGCTTGGCTAGTCTTAAGGAAGTACAGAGACCAAATTGGTTTCTTTAACCACAGCTTCACTGCTACTACTTCCTTCTTAAATCTCACCATGATAGCTATTATTCTACTCTTCTTAGCTCTACTCACCCACACACATACAAAGTGTGTGAGTTTTACAAGTGATATCACAACAGAGGAGATTATCGAGCCAGGCTTACAACTACCAATAGCAGTGCCCAGTAGCATGTCTTTATCATGTGCGGCACTCACTGATGTAGATGGCAGACTTGGAGTTTAGGGAACTATTAATGGTGCCATTTCCCAGAAACATAAACTCACTCAATAAACACCCTCACAAGTATCCCTCCCTTATGATGACAAGAAAAGAGTTCACAGTTCTGCTGCGTGGTTCTTTGGGATCTTTGGCTCGCGTGACTGCAGTTACTGGAACCAGGCAATGGAGTAGCTTGGTCAGGGTTCTTGATGCCCACAGAATTCTCTCAGACAGTAGCATACTGGTCAGGGAGGTATAGCCAATGAATGGAGTCTTCACTTCTTCGTACTCAAAGGGAACTAAGAGGGGTTCTTTTCATAGATGTTGGTGACCCAGGAGAGCACACGTCTCTTCTCCAGGGTCTTGACCTTCATAGTGGAGGGTGATTCCCACTTACACCATCCTATGGTCCACCTTCATAACTCGTTCAGTGGCCTGTGCCTTCCACATACAGTCAATATGGCCCAGTCCTCTCACATGGGCAAGCATCAGGCCTGCAGTCTCTATGGAAATTCCCACTCAGGGATAACCATTGTCCCGAAAAATCCTCTGTTGCAACTGCAATGTCTGATGGGCCATCTGGTGGCTAATAAGGCTTGAGCTCCAACTGAAGATTTTCCCACACTCAGCACGTTCGTATCGTTTCTCTTTAGTGAAGATTCGTGGCTGGATCATGATTGCATTAAGGTCCTCCAAACCTCCCTGTCTCCTTGGCTGATTCCTCTGCTGCCTCTCTGACCTGCATTCACTCTCACAGGCTTCTCCTCATTTGGGACTATGGGAAATTTTCCCTTTGGTTCTTCCCGATACTATTCCATGTGGTTCCATTTGCTCAGGGCTGAGTATTCCCCTCCTTGTCCTTGCTCACACCTCGCAGTAGCTCCCTTCCCGCAGAGTTTTAACTCGGGGAAATGGCATTGAATTGGTCTCTCCTCACCTCTGGGGAGAGGTTCTTGGGTTTGTTTGTTTGGTGGGAGAGGAATTCAGCTTCTGATTGCTTGATCTCCTTAGCAATTATTTTGATTTATTTTCCCCCTTTCCTAATACGTATAAAATGAAGGGGTCTAAAGGAGCTGTTACCACTCGAGAGAGATCTTGGAGTCATTGTGGGTCGTTCTCTGAAAACATCCACTCCATGTGCAGCAGGAGTCAAAAAAGCGAACAGAATGTTGGGAATCCTTAGGAAAGGGATAGATAATAAGACAGAAAATATCATATTGCCTCTATATAAATTCATGGTATGTCCACATCCTGAAAACTGTGTGCAGATGTGGTTGCTCCATCTCAAAAAAGATATATTGGAATTCGAAAAGGTTCAAAAAAGGGCAACAAAAATGATTAGGGGTGTGGAATGGCTGCCACATGAGGAGAGATTAATAAGACTGGGACTTTTCAGCTTGAAAAAGATGACTAAGGGGGGATATGATTGAGGTCTATAAAATCATGACTGGTGTGGAGAAATTAAATAAGGAAGTGTTATTTATTGCTTCTCATAACACAAGAACTAGGGGTCACCAAATGAAATTAATAGGCAGCAGGTTTAAAACAAACAAAAGGAAGTATTTCTTCATACAACACACAGTCAACCTGTGGAACTCTTTGCTAGGGGATGTTCTGAAGGCCAAGACTATAACAGGGTTCAAAAAAGAACTAGATAAATTCATGGCGGATAGGTCCATCTATGGCTATTAACCAGGATGGGCAGGGAAGGTGTCCCTAGTTTCGGTTTGCCAGAAGCTGGGAATGGGCAACAGGGGATGGATCACTTGATGATTACCTGTTCTGTTAATTCCCTCTGGGACACCTGGCATTGGCCACTGTCAGAAGACAGGATACTGGGCTAGATGGAACATTGGTCTGATCCAGTATGGCCATTCTTATGTTTTTATGTTCTCATTCCCCTTTCTGAGGTTCCTTTTCTCCCTGGCACAGGGACTGACTCCTGTCTGGATTCTCTCTCTTGCCCAGCAGGTGATGGGATGATGAGTAAGATTAAGGAGGAGAATCCTCAGCAGGAAGGTCTTGAGGAAGTGGAACCACACGGGACGCTATTGGGAAGATTCAAAGGAAATATTTCCCAGAGACCCAAGCAAGGAGAAGCCTGTGGGAGTCAGTGCAAGTCAGAAAGGCAGAAGGGAAACCAGCCAAGAAAGAGACGGGCTGAATCCACTCATCCAGGAGGAGGTTTGGAGGATCCTAAAGAGACCATGATCCAGCCGAAGATCCACATTAAAAAGAAATCGTATAACTGCCCTGAGTGTGGGAAAAGCTTCACTCAGACATCAAATCTTATTATACATGAGAGAATCCACACAGGGCAGAGACCCTATAAATGCCTTGAGTGTGGGAAAAGCTTCAGACAGAAATCAGACCTCAGTAAACATCAGCGAATCCACACGGGAGAGACCCCTTATAAATGCCCCGACTGCGGGAAAAGCTTTAAGCAAAGATTCAGCCTCATCGTACATCACCGAAGTCACACTGGAGAGACCCCTTATAAATGCAATGACTGCGGGAAAGGCTTCACCCAGAGCACCAACCTGGTTTCGCACCAGAGGATCCACACGGGAGAGACACCCTATAAATGCGCCGACTGCGGGAAGAGCTTCAAGCAAAGATTCAGCCTCATTGTACACCAGAGAAACCACACTGGAGAGAGAGCCTATAAATGCGCCGACTGCGGGAAAAGCTTCAAGCAGAGCTCAGAGCTCATTTCGCACCAGAGAATCCACGTTGGAGAGAGGCCCTTTAAATGCACGGAGTGTGGGAAAAACTTCAGTCAGAGCTCGGGCCTGATTAGACATCGGAGAACCCACACGGGAGAGAAACCCTACAAGTGCATCGATTGTGGGAAAGGCTTCAGTCAGAGCTCGGGACTTATTAGGCATCGGAGAACCCACACGGGGCAGAAACCCTATGACTGCCCTGAGTGCGGGAAAAGCTTCACTCAGAGCTCAGCCCTTATCGTACATCAGAGAGTCCACACAGGAGAGGCACCCTATCGATGTTCTGTCTGTGGGAAAAGCTACAAGGTGAAGGACTCCCTTATTTCCCACCAGAAACTCCACACAGGATAGGAGGCAAAGGGAGCCCTCACAGCGGGGCAATGTGTCTGTGCCCTCCTGAAGCAAAGTATAAACTTGCTTCCTTTGAGGATAGTCTTGGGAGAGGAGCAAGGGGGGGGGGGTGGAGCATAGGCACCAACTCCATGGGTACTCCAGGGCTGGAGCACCCACGGGAAAAAAATAGTGGGTACTTAGCAGCCACTGGCAGCCCTACGAGTCAGTGCCTCCTCCTCCCCCACAGTGCCTCCCGCCTGCCTGTGTCCCCCTGATAGGTTCCTCCCCCTCCCCCCGGCACCTCCTGCCTGCCGCAATCAGCTGTTCCTTGGTGTGCTGGAGGCATTGGAGGGGGAGGAGCAGGAACAGGTGGGAGGAGGGGGGCAGATTAGAGGCAGGGTGGGGGCTTGGAGGAAGGGGCAGGGTGGGGGAGGGGCCTGGGGCACCCCCCGGGATCTCTGTAAGTCAGCGACTATGGGGTGGATGGTTTCAGTTTGGGGAGAGGGGGTTGGCGGAATCTGTGAGTTAGTCAGTATAGAGATGCGCCACTTCCTGAAGTCTTTTTGGTTTTCCTGTGGCACCTTTCCTGCGAGAGGGCAGAAACAAAGCAGCTCAGGACAGGACAATTGCAGGCTGCAGCTACACAGAGCAGTCGGCAGTTTGGTTACCTCATTGCATGTTGTACATAGTGTCCATAATAAAGGATTTATCTTGACACCTCTGCTGATCAGAAAGATACCGCATGGTACCAGCAGTGGGAGGCACCCAGCATGCTGGAAGACCCAGTGAGAGAGGTCACATTGCAATGGCCGCTACAGAGCCTTTACAACTACAAGTAACTTCTCCACCCACCCTGAGAATCAGAGGATATGCCTGAAAAGGATTCAAACAGCAGTTTGAGCTGCTTATGAAAGTCAGCCACAGGGACAAATGAAGTGGAGGCTAAGCCAAAGATTGCTTTGATCCTTCCCGCGACAGGCACAGAAGTCCCAGATGGTGGTGGAGAAAGAGAGGAAAGTTGTGCAGAAATATCAAAAATGTTTGAGGCTCATTGTGTTCTTAAAAAAAAATGTGACTTATGAGAGAGAGATGCGTCAGGATAAGAACACAGAACAAAGGGGAAACAATAGAGGAGTTTTGTCAAAGATTTAAAGCTAAAAAGTCAGTCCTGTGACTAGGGAATCATAAAAGATTCTCTCATTAAAGACCAAATTATCCTGGGGTGTAACAATAAAAAAGGTTATGAAGGGAGATGGATCTGTCACTAGAAAGGGCAATATGTTTAGGTAAGCCCCTTTGTTTTCAATTTAAACTGATTTTTACAGAAAAATTCCCGGGTTTTACAAAAAGTATTATTCCATTTTTTCTGATTTTCACCCTACTTTTGTATCATTCAAATATATAAAAAATAACATGTTTTATTAGGGAAATACCATACATGGCATGAGATCTATGTATTCCAATCATACATTAGTTTGGGTGTATATGCGAAGCTGCCTGTTGAAGTAAGGCTATGTATTAGTCTAGAAGATACACACAATAAACGGGCGGGCACGCAAATGCCAAAGTGTGTGCGCATCTGAATGTACTGATGACTCTCACGCCCACCACATACATGTTTCAAGCTGTTAGCAGATAACGGGTTAAAGATTTGACACACTAAAATAGGAAGAAAACAAAAATCTGTATCAGAATACGTTACAGAACACAAGGAAGTATTCGAAAGTTTTAAAAAAACAAAAATAGAAAGGGATGAAGTTGAGTGTATGTGCTTCAAATGGTGTGGCCCAATTATTAAATGTAAATATTTATAGGCTAATAGTTCTAAGTCTACAACAGTAAACTGTTTATTCAAATGAAAAGCCTTATTTGGGGATTAGAGATATATTATTTTCTTAAACTCAGAGATGGTATTGTGTTTTGAGTTCTGTTTTAGTTCTGCAGCAAACCACACTGTGGAATTCAAAAGCATCTACTGAATGCTTTTCTCCCCAGTCTTTCCGTCCTCCAAAATAAACCCCGATATTTACCCAGAAAAATTATAATTTTTTTGGCACTGATTTTCACCTGTTTTTGTTGTGGTAATAAACACTGATAAAATCTTGGGAAAAATTAAATTAAATAAAAACTGAAAACGAAGGGCCCTATGTATAGGCCAAGCAGCAGAACAAACAAAGGCAAATAAAAAGTCTAGAGAGAAGCACAGAGCATATTGCTTTGGTTACTATAGCTAAACCAACAAGAGAAAAGTTCCCAGAAATTAAATTGGCCAGGGACAGAAAAATGGAAAGCAGGAAACAACGTCAGTGATGTGGCAAGCAGTATGATTATAGAAAATATCCAGCATTTGGGCAAATATGTAGAAACTGTAATAAACCCAACCATTATACTAAAATGTGCAGAGAATGCAGGAAAGTTCATGTATTAAGTGCAGAAAGTGATTCCTCAGGTGAAGAGGAACTGCTGTTCTAAAGCAAATAGAGGAGGGTGAAAACTCGAAAGATTGGCAAGATGCAAGATAGACACTGGCATACAAATAAATGTAATAACACAAACTGAAATAGAGAGATGTAAGGAGCATGGAAAAGTGGAAGAGTCAAAAGCATCTGTGAAGACTATGATGGAGGAACAATTCCAGTGTTGGGAGAGTGCACGCTGACACTTCAATGCAAATGGAAAATGATAAAGCAAGAGTTTGTGGTTGTAGACAGAGGCCAGCCCAGACTTGGGCCTACACATGTGTCAGGAGTTAGGTCTCATTAAGAGGATGCATACCTCAGATAGACAAAAAGACAATGCAGAACCAGATACGAAAGTATTAAGAGCAGCATATGAAGATGTATTCCCAAGAAATAGGTGCCTCCCAATAACAGACATAAGGCAGTTAGAAGAAGATGCAGAACCTATGGTAGATGCTATGTTTCACACCCCTTAGGAAAGAGGGTAGAAGAAGAGTTGTGAAACATGACAGTAAATGGTAGGATTTGGAGAATAGAAGAGCCAGCAGCTTGGGTTCCCTCCTTAGTAACTAGAGAAAAAAGGATGGAGACTGTGGCTGTGTATGGTGCTGAACAAAAACAGGAAAAGTACACTTGGCCACAAGAAGTGAACTATCTGAGATGGCAGGAGCCAAACTCCTCACCAAATTAGATGTATTGGCAAGGTAGTGGCAGATCCTCTTAGACCAATGGTCCCCAAACTGTTGAAGGTCGTGCCCCTCCCTTACCCCTGCCAGCTTCCTGCCCCCCCACCCCCCTGAGCTGGGTCTGGGGCCGGGAGTGGGGCCGTGGCCAGGGGCCGAGGCTGGGGGCAAGACCGGAGTCGTAGCCAGACTGTGTTGGGAGCCGGCAGCTGGGTCTGCGGCCAGGTGCGGCTCCGCTCCCAGCCTCAGCCCCGGCCACGGCCGCTGGTCAGGAACGGAGCTGCAGCCAGTGGCCGAGGCGGGGGGCTGGCGCAGGGCCCGGAGTGGAGCCGCACCGAGGCTGGTGATAGGGCCAGGCTGGGAGCAGAATCAGAGCAGAGCTGGGGGCGGGGAACGGCTGGGTGTCGCTCCCTCCCCGCACTCCCGTGGGGGACGGCCCAGGCCCCACTGTGGCCCCCTCAGATGTTCCTCCATGCCCCCCTAGGAGGCCACGCCCCACATTTGGGAACCTCTGTCTTAGAGAGTTCTCCAAGATCTACACTTTAAACATTATCCACTGATTAGCAGATACTGCTTCTGAAGACTAAGCTGCCTTTCTGTAGAGGTTCAGTTCCAGCAGTCTTTCACTGTCCAGAAAGCCAAATGCTGGAAGGTCTGGCAGATGTCAGAGTGTACATTGATGATATACTGATTTGGGGCAGCAATGCCCTTGAACATCAGGACCCACGGAGGAGAGTACTGAAAACTGTAAGAGCTAAGACTCTTACACTGAAATGATGTTAATTTCAAACCACGGAAATAGCCTTCTTGGGAAAGAGACTGACAGCAAAGGGAACCAAAGATTCAGGCAATACTGAACAGGCCGACACCTGATGATAAAAGGGGAATTCAAAGGCTGCTAGGCATGCTGCATTATGTCAGCAAGTTCATACCTAACCATACAGCTCACACAACTCATCTATGACGTCTCTGCCAAAAGGTCACCAAATGGAAGAGCGTTCAATGATTTAAAGCATATTATGACATCAGCTCCAATACTGCAAACTCTGCAAAGTGTAGGACTGGAAAAGAAAAGGCCACTACTGGGATATACTTTGTGGAAGGTCCAAAGGCTGCCTCCTAGTGGACAAAATCCAGGCTCTCAAAACATGCCCTATCCCAGCCACAAAGAAACAGGTCTGAAGGTTTTTGGGACATGCAGTTTACTACTGCTGATTTGTACAGGGTTTTCTATGATAGAGTCCCCCCCCCCCCATTAACCTAATTAAGGCCAGGAGCCCCCAGGAAGATTCACTGGCCTGCAAAAGGGCTTTTGAGAAGTTGAAAAACCATCTGTCCTGTTCAGTCCCAGCTTCTCAAAATACTTCATTTTGCAGACTGACATAATCCCAGGTAGTTAATGGAGTGGAAGATACTGTACTCTATCTGAGCAACGAACTGTTCCCTTGGGAGTGGGCATATTCAGTAACAGAAAAGAAAAGACTTTGTGACACAGAAGCTCCTTGGCAAAGGATCCCCTGTTCTTTGCCAAAATTTTGACCTCAGACCTGACAAACTCACTGCACCAAACACATCTTGCAGAATATTGATCCATAAGAGTAGCATGTAAGGTATCTACAGAATGCTCATAACATAGATTCATAATCATTGTGAGATGTATGTACAGGTAATATTTAAGGAGTAATGTATTGAGATTGAAAGTATGCTTCATGGACTTGGAATAAAAGTTAGTCACCATGGAATAATGTGTCTTGGTGATGGGCAATTCAAGCAGAGGAGTGTTGACACCTCACCCTGGTTAGTCAGTGATGTAATCCTTGCTCCATCCCAAGACTTTCCATGGAAAACCATCAGAGACAACTGTAAACTGT